CTCTATTTTCATTTTTTGTTTTAGTTAGAAAAGTCCCGTGGCAGCTTCTAACAGATGCAGTATTATTCCGTCCTCTGTTCTCTGCTATCTCTTTAAGAGAAAACCAGCCTCCTCTGTAAAGCATTTTTCACAAAACTAACTTATATAAATACTGCACTTAATTCAATCAATATGTAGAAAAGTTGTAGCTCAAAGGGAAAACAAACTTTCAAAAATCTTTTAACAGCGGTTTCCGTATTTTTATGATTAAAAATTTGATGAAGAATCTAGATGGCACAGAAATGCTAGCAAGTATTGATTTTAATGAGAAAATCTTTGACAGAGTAATTTCCATTCACATCAGTTTTATGTAACCTGTGAGGATGTGAGCCAGTGCAGAGTTTGCAAACACAAGGGCTAGTTAGCAAAGATCTGTATAGATGCATGAATTAGGTTTGCCACAGGGGTGTGTGCGTGTGTGTTAACAGGTAATGAGCCCTAGCACAGCTAAGGCCAAGACAGGAATACAAAGGAGTATATATAGTGGCGATCTACTAACATGAGGCTTTCCTGCTCTCGGAGCAGCCGCATACAAAACCCCCTCAACTAATAACCTACAACTGAGTAAATCTGTTTGACCTTGACTGTTGGCTTCTGCTACTGCTAACTTCTGGATTTTAATATTTTTTAGTGTCAGTGTTATTTAGGAATCTGCATCTATTGATTTATATTTTAATTGGTGTCCAAGAAAATTGCAGTGCCCAAATGCCTTTTGATTCTCATTCTAGCTCACTTCAGACATGTGCAGCAACTGTTCTCACATTTTTCTTGAGTTCAGTAGAAAAAGCATTCACAAAACGTTCCCCATATGGGCCACCTATTACTACTAATTAACTCCCCTGGCATTATAATGTGGAGTGAATGTAAAGCAAGGCCTTTGTATGAATTTGTCATGAATACAAGTCTGGAATAAGTCTGTGTGGCAGTTATTTTTCTGTGCAGTACTTTTGAATAGACAAGTTTCATACCCATATTCAAAGAATTGTTTGTGTGAGTTTAAGGTTAATTAAAACCTGTATACACTATTGATTAGTTTGCACCTGAAATAGCATTGGTGCCACCTCACCTTGAGTAAATGATCAGTGTACGTTCCTTCCAACTGAAAATATTCTCTTCAGTATCCTTACTTAAAAATGATACCTTGTTCAATTTATGTAGAAACTGGTAAAAAAAATTGTGGAGATTTTACATAAAGTTATAGCATGTAATTGTTAAGCACCAGAAAAAGATTAATGAAAGCTTGCACTGAAGTGGAAAATGCAGTGTTTAAATAATTTCACACTTACTATAATTTTGTTACAGGCTGTTTGCAGCTAGGGCTTAGTACAGGTCAAGGATTCTTTTCCTGGTGTTAAAGAATTACCTGTTGTAGTACATTTCACTATTTTGCTAACTTTCCCTCTGCCACCATTGAGGTAGGAATGTAAAGATATAAGTGAATAAAATTTCTATGGAAAAATTGTTTTACTGTTTTTGTGTTTTTGTTCGGGTTTTGTTTCGTGTTTGTTCTTAAAGCAGTGTCATTTTGGGATTACATTTATGATCTTAAATTACATTTTGTAGGTATCAGTGTTACTATGCAGCTTCATAAATTATTCTCAGGTCTGTTAATAACAGAGCAAGGTGCTGGGCAGAACAAGACTGAAGTCTGTTTTCTCTTCCCATACAGAAAGGGTTTTATTAATTAGAAATGACAATGTACCAAGAACACTTATCCAGAGCTTATAAGGAGGACTCAATAGTTCTGCAAATTCACATGGTCTGTCAACCCCTATGAGTGAACATCTAGGTCTACTTATGTCAAAGAACACCTCTAATATACTTGTAATTCTCAGCATTCACAGGTGATTGCAACCATTCATAGATAAGAGCTTAGAAAGCCCTAAGTAGCTAAACATCTTCAGATGACAGCCAAAAGAGGAGCATTTGGAAAAAGGTTTGGAACTGTTCTACAAGATTTTACAGAGCCTATGATTTTCTTAATTCTGGCCAACTGGGGAAAAAATAGTAGCTAGCTATGTTTTTCAGTGCTGTAGCTTACAAGTGTTTGGGAAGATGAACTGCTGTTGTAGAGGATGCTCAGATACTTTTTTGAGAGATGAATGCAGTTCTTAAGCTGGATGACACTGATACAACAAAGTGAGTGTGTGTCTAGACAGCACCCCGATTTTCCATTTGCCTTCCATTCTCTTAATGGCACCCTTCCTCTACCTCTTCTCACAACTCCATATCAAAAGTTTATTGTGGTGGCTAAGAGGAGAAAAATAAAGGTAATCTCTTCCCATGTGGCTGTGCAATGAAGAGATTTGACACAAGCAACATTATAGTATTTATGACTTTGATGCAAGCCAGCAATTTTGTTCAAGAGGCTGGATTCTTATTGTCAGGGCTCAAAATCTTCTATAAATCTAGAGCAAACAAAAGCATTGCAAACAGTTACATGAATTCTCCTGTCAAGCCAAGCAGCTAAAATCCTAAGAAAATAAGCTAGTAGAGCAAAAGTCAAGAGCAGAGGACAGATTTTATTCTGCATGCTTAGCCAGTTGATTCTAGACTTATTTCAGCATTGTTTATTTAGTTTGCAAAAAAAAAAAAACCACCAACCCAATCAACCAGCCATCAGCCCACCTTTTAAGTACTAATAATTCACTCTTTTCTAGTTGTTAAATCTCCATAAAACCCCGTGTAAGTTTTGATGGGATTGAAGTAGCTGAACAATTATCTCCTAGGCAGAATGGTGGTAGAACTAAAGAGTTACAGACCTGTGCTGTGTCCTGTCATTACAATACCTTCCTTCATAGTGACAAATTGGAGACCTCTACTAAAATGGTATTTTGTTTAATCATGTTTTTTTTGCCCTTCCTGCGAGAGCTTGCTTCCTCTGACCTCAGATTACTGCCTTGAAAGCAAATCTTTTCGTTTCTAAAGCTTTGGTAGGGTACTTAAATTGAGCTATCAACTCATGCATGAAACAAAAAGCCTAATTACTGTTAAAACATAAACCTATTTACAGCAGATCAGAGTAGATAATATCCTTTTCTCAAGTATTCTTGCTCTGCACTGTCAACAAACTTGCCCTCTACCTGTGACATTCGCTCTTGAAAAATTTGATGGCAACACTTTCTGACTAATCTTGTGCTTGTCTGTAACTTGGCAGCATTATGGCACAGAAAATTCATATCATGACAAGGTTTTTCATGATTATGAGCAGCTTGGCAATGGAATTCTCCTTTATGGGCCTGTTCCAAGAACTGTCAGAAAAATCTTCCAGTTCAAGCAGGACAGTTTTGATCACCCCCTTAAGTGGTTTAAAGGGTCCAATTTCTTTGTCAAGGTTCTCAGAAAACGAAGGCAATTTCTCAAGGCACATGGTATTAGTCCCTAGCCTATCAATCACTGTTATGAGACAAGCCTTGAGAATCTGATGGCTGAGGTCTATTAACTGCTCACAAGATTGATAACAGGGTAAGGTGCAAAGGAAACGCTGGATTTACAATCAGCTTGACAATCTTCTAAAGTTCTTGCAATACCATCGTAAAATAGATGCTACGCAATAACACAGAGATGTTTAATCAAACTGGTTTTCATATATGATTTTATAAACAGAGAGAAAGGTAACTAACTGCTTATGCACAAGCTAGGAAGCTGAAGCTCTTCTCAATTCCCACTTAGTCTCAGCTCAGGAAATCTGGTTAATCAGGAAATCACAGTGTGATGTAGCTACTACAAGCTGTGCAGCCATTATACACCTGTAATGTTTAAATAAGTGTTGTCTAGAGAAATACTACCCAGTCTTTCAAACACTTCTTTGTATTAGGGTACATAAGAGAATGCAAACCAAATATATCAGGGGAGAATTGTGCAGACTTGTGCCTTGTGTCATTAGAAACTGACAATGCCTCAACTCTTTCAAAGAAAAATTAGGCATTTCCCCCCCCAAGATGATCTAGTTTGAGGGTAAGAAATAAAGTCTGCCAATGTTTTGCAACACTTCAGTGCACATATCATAGTTTTAAATCTGACATATTACTTCAAAAGACCTAAGGAATAACAGCCCATCTGATAGTGGAATAACTACATATGATTTTGTATTCCTCATTGGTCCTGAGTTGTGTTTTAAATCTAAATTAAAAAAAATGTTTTACTGTAATCACATGGGGCCCAGAATTCTGGATTCCATGACATTGATGGATGTATACTTTTTAAATACTACTGCCCACCACCACTGTAGCCTCAGGAGAATACTTACCTACAATGGTCAAGCTATGAAAATATATATAATACAGTTACTCTACTTTTGCCTATTCTTTTTGTAGCCTTCATTTTGTTCTGTTTGCAATGTCTATTCCACCCCCTTCCATTTCAGTTTATTCCTCCATCAACATATCCTACTATATTTATAACCCATTTCAGTTACAAGTCTCTCCAGGACGCCAATCCTGTGGTAGTATTTTAACTTTGCCCATTACTGATCTGATAAACTAAGACTAAAAGGCACTTTTATGAGATACAACTGTAAAAATTCTCACTCCATCAAGGTTATGGATCATTTCAAAAAATGTCATCTGGGTCGTGTGCTTCAATTTATGTCATCTGCTTTTCTTAATTTTCTTTGCATATTCATAAGAGTACACAAGACATAACCATATGGATAAAGTCAGACTTAAAAAGAACATGAAGGAAAACCAAACATTTCACCAGAATGTTAACCATTTTGTCACACTGAAGAGAAACACTATTAAATATGTCTGTTCCACATGTGGTACAAAAGATTATTCTTTTTTAAATCTTGGACAGTGTTACTTGCTATACAGGTACCATGACTGAAATTAATCACAAGCTCATACAGCATTAATTATTTATAGGTATGTTCTGTTCTAAAGGGATCTTACATTCTTCAGCATATCTGATGGGAAGAGTTCTGTAGCACTAAAAACCCTTGTAATGATTCACGTGAGCGCTTATCTTACACTGTGATCTGTCCTTGCATTGTCTCCTCCAACAATTTTCAGAGGTGTGCATAGAAAAAAGGGTAGATGTGAAGCAAATTCTTCTATAAATCCTAAAAGTATTTTTAATTTCTTTAACAAAAACCTCTGTAGTATTGACTTAAGATAATTATATTCAACTATCATCTTTTTTCCTCACAAGCAGCATGGCAAAATTCATTTGCCATATTCTCCCTTTCTATATTTAATCTCCCTCCCAAAGAATTTTCCTAAAATGAAAAATAAAAAGATGCTCCCAGAAACAAAACCACAAAAGCCCCTAAAAATGTGAATAGAGCAGTTTAAATTGGAAGTAAATGCCAGGTACTTTTGATCAAGGTAGTCTGTATGAATGCCACAAGCCATTTTAATGAATGTATGATTAACGAGAAAACTGCCGATGGTCTGATTTCTTGTTAATGTGTTTGAAGATTTTAGCTTTGTGGACGCTCTTTGCTTTCTGGTAACCAAATCCCCCACCTCCACCTCTTTTCTGTAGTCTTCTGCCATGGTTGCTGTTCACATCTGGAATTTTATTGGTTAAAGAACTTAAAAAGGAATAATTCAAACTGTTGCTTTTTAGGTACTATAAAGGTTATTAATGTGAGAAAATATAGCAGCATTATACAAAAAGTTGCATTGCATAACTACAGGCAAAACTAGAACTTTGCGCCTGTGGTCCTAAATACGGCTTTTAATTCCTTTAGTTGGCCAACAAAGCTGGCCAAAGTACTACTGCTTCCAATTCCATCCACTGGCAGGTTTGACAATAATCTATTTCATGCTTTTGCCCCTCTATTTCTATATTCCGTAATTATGGAACTTAAGCATGTGCCTTTCAATGAAAATAACAATGCATGGAAAACAGTACTCTAGAACACATTTGCATGTATGCATGCCAGCACCTGCTACCCCCCAGCAACTGAATCACGTACAGCATCTACATTCTCTAAAACATAGATGATTGTATGCAATTTTTGCAGTTTTAGTATTTGCTATTTAACATACTTTTAAAATAAACTACTGTTGGAGCACAGGGCATTTATGTGATTAATAACAAAAATGAGAATTTGAAGTTGCATAGGAACTTCAGGAAGTTGCATTTAACACGTATAACACAGAACTACAGTTTTGAAACACTGCAGTAAAAGGATACTGAGGTCAACAAACGGAGGAACTTTAAAACCAAATGAAAGGCTGACTTTGGGAAGATCCAGGTTATTGACATCATAGATCTGCTTCAGAGAATGGGAGTCATAAGCTCTAATGTAAGCTTTGTATGCTTCCTGGGCTGACTTGTGAAGGAAATAATTCTTCTCAATCAGTTTTTCCAGCTGGGGGGGGGGGGGACAAAACCAAAACAAAACAAGAGACATATCCAGTTATAGCTGTAGCAAGTGTATAAATTATATTCAAGCAGATTACTGTGGGTGTTGCAGTGACATTCACCATTCACTTCAGCAAAACTGCCCTGTGACAGTGGAGTGCATGTACATGTATCAGAATGCTTTTATAAACAGAGGGGAAAAAAACCCCCCACAAAAAACATTTCTTTGTACTGAAACTGAATTACAGTACAAAGCCTCAGCAATATAAAAATTTACAGAACTATTAAATTGGGTTGTCCCAAACAGGCTAATCAAGGAGTATAAAACTATAGGCACACCATAAAACTATGTGTATTGAGAATTAATGGGCAGTGATGGTGTAATTTTAAGTCGCACATCTAAAATGTACAATTCCATGTAATTCTATATGTAGTCTTATCTATTATGGTGCAAATGCATTGTAAAATCAGCAGTATTAATTCCAAGACAAAAATGCAGATGCAGTAGTGTAGACACCTTACTTGTTGCGGTCTAAGTTCCCAATGCCCTTCAGATCCAGGTTATCTCATTTGATGTTTAGCTTACATTAATTCAGCATACTAAGTTACGCTGGACATCATTACTTTCTAATTATTCTTAGCTAGGAACCTCTTCAATGCCTCTTATACTCGTTACTTCAAATTTAAGTTACTGCAAAGAAGCTTTACAGCACTCTTACCAGAAGAATGAGTCACAAAACTAAACAGAAATTCACATCTACAGAACTATCTACGTCATTCTATTCAGCTTTATGCTCCATGGCTATTTTTGTAGCACTGGAGCACAAAACAGGCTAAGCTGACATTGGGCTTTATTAAAGCCAGATAGTTAAAAATACACCTGGAACATATCTTAACATCTCTAAGTATTGGTACTGCATCTCGTTCTGCTCACAGAAGTCTGAGTACATCATCTTACAAAACATATACATTGCTCACAGTTGATCTGAACATATGTAACTATGTAATAAAAGCTACCAAAACCCTGTTTGTTCTGCCAGACAAGAACATCCCTTCAAAAGCTGAAAGCACGTTTACATCACAGTACTTTTGCAAGATAATGTGAAAAACTACTTCTTACAAGGCAATCTGTACAGTGTAATGATGCAAATTATGTTAAAATGATATTAAAATTAATCTTTCATTTCTAAAACTTTTATTGCTTTACTGTTACCAAGGTACAATGGGAGGATTTTCTAAAGACTAGCCTTCTCCATGTAAATTATTATACAGATATGCAGAGTAACTGTAGCATAAAGTCATTTCATACCTGAGACTGGATGTCTGAAATTTTTGACCAAGAAAATTCGAATTCACTTAATGGTACCTTAAAAAAAAATAAATTTATACTGTAAACAGTGAATGTGTTTAAGACATAAGACAAACAAAAAAGGACCTCCTATATAACTGTAGATTTTTTTTTTTTTAATACCCTAGCTGTATCTGTAAGGAGGCTTTACATCAATATGCCAGAATATTACTCTACCTTAAATGAAGTGATTAAAGATCAACTGTGTAGCTAGTTCACCCGAGAGCTTCCTGAGGGGGCCTACGCTCTCCCTAGTCTGTTTTTTATTTGCTATGTACCTGTAGAATCCCTTCCTGTAATCCTTAACATGCCTAGCCAAGTTTAATTCTAACTGGGCCTTAGCTTTCCTAACCTGGTCCCTAGCTTCCCGGACAACATCCCTGTACTCTTCCCAGGCCGCCTGTCCCTGCTTCCACTTTCTATAAAATTCTTTTTTCATTTGAGTTTTCCTCAGGAGCTCCTTATCCATCCAAGGAGGTCTCCTGGCCCTCCTGCTGCACTTCCTTCTAGTTGGGATGCAACATTCCTGAGCTTGTAGCAGGTGATCCTTGAAGACTAACCAAGAGTCTTGGGCCCCCCTGCCCTCTAGGGCTGTATCCCATGGAACCTTACTAAGCAGGCTCCTGAAGAGGCCAAAATCTGCTCAGTATGACACTGTTCCCACCTTAGCTTTGCTTTAGAAGCTATGCCCCTTGACTTGTAAGTGTCAAAACTCTGTAGTGTAAAGAAGCACATGAGGAGAGCAACCAAGAAACTACGTGCAGTTCTGCCACATTAGAATGATTATATTTAGAAGGTGGCTGCACTTCTGGAACTGAACAAAATGCAGCTGACACTGAATGGAAAAAAATAAAAACTGCACAAGCAATATCCTGGTTTTAATTTCTTCTGGGTGGTCAAACTCCCAGTATGCTTTCGCAGACAAGCCATAGGAAATTACATTTTCTAAGCAACAGAATTTTTGCTTAAAAAAAATTAACGTTAATTAAACATTGTATTTTTTGCCTCTAAAACCATGTTGCACAGTAAGAAATTTTAAAAATTAAGACATAAGGTTTACCCTTGCTTGTTTTAAGTAACGAAGAAAGCCCAGTTCTTCTGGTCGTAAAATGAGCAGAGCATGCCCTCTACCATTTATACCTCTGGCAGTTCTACCAACACGATGAATATATTCCTTTTGGAAAGAGTAAGAAACAACAAGTCCAATCAGTATTTCAAACACATAAGAAACAAACAACTCTCCCCCTCCCAATTTAACATTAATATAGTGTAATGCATCATCCATTATTTTTAAAGACCACTTTAAATGACACATGGGTGAGGGAAAGCAAGTGCTGGAGATGCAACGCATTAATTAGGCTGAGACCTGATTAATTTAACAGAATCCCTGACTACAACTATTTTACCTTTTATTAAAGAATAAAAATCTTAAGTCTGCTGTAACTGAAAATTAAAACTTTGCTTTTGGTGTAGTTGCTGCGTTTATTTGTCAAAACTTCTCTGAGTTTTTTTGAGTTCTGATTGTTTACACTGGACATTTATTAAAGTAAGAATACTTTTAAATACAAATACAATTTCCACTGGAAAAGCTGTGAGGAGACTCAGGGATGCATATATAAACTCATACTCCTCCCGAGAACTGTTTTGGTGTTTAGCCAATTAGATTTTACACTAATTTAACAGCACAAAGAATAAGATTTTTAAATGCAACTCTTAAAATGGTAGTGAAGGTCTCAGCTAGGTGCAGCATTTCCCAGGATCTGATGAAGTGGAAGAAATCAGCAGCTAGATTTGAACATGGCTGAATCCTGCAGCAGTTTCAGCTTTTCTCTGCAACGATGTTTGTAGTCAGGATTGGATCTGTTGCTTTCAAATTTGTTTCCTTAACTTACTTTTGGATCATCTGGTGGGTCATACTGGACAATCCAGTCAACTTCAGGAATATCCAATCCTCTGGCAGCTACATCAGTGCACAACAGTATTCCAGATTCTGCATTACAGAACTGGAAAAATGTTGTAGTACGTTTGGTTTGTTTCTGCTTGCCCTACGAGGAAATAAACACATTAAGGATGAAATATTAACTAAAAAAAGTATATCAACAAATTAAAAAAAATAATCTGCCCACTTGTAAACTTAAATCTACTTTCTCATTTCACATACGGTACCACTGCCAAAACCAAAAAATAATCTGGGGCAGCTCTGCATATCACGGACTTGTACAGACCAAGCAGGACTATTCTGCAGTGCAGAAACAATGCTACCAGTCAACAGCACAGAGCTATACGAAGTGGTATCTCTGAGAGATTACAGTCTATCTTCCAAAGCACTAAAAATTTGGTTGCATAAATATTCTTGTCAAGAGAGCTGCTAAATGCCTTAAGTTCAGAAAAAGGCATCTGCAAGTCTAACAATATGTTACATAAATTACAAGTTAAAAAAAACCAACCAAACATACTTAGAACAGTTCCCTCAAAGTATAGCTAAAAAAATCAAAAAGAACCAAATAAAGAAAGGACATTTGTGGTAAGCTGTAACTGTTTCCTAAAATGTCAGTTAATTCTTTCTTCTAAACTATGCATTTTGTGGTTTTTGCTTATTAGAAATTGGACTGAAATAAAAAAGGCAAATGTAAGGTCAGTAACAGCTTACAGGTACTATCAGATAAATTAATCGATTAATAAAATACTTACATGAATGGCCAAAACAGGCAAATCAATATAGTTGAGTAATTCATAGTGGTACTTTACTGACATACATGATGAAAAAAATACCATTAGTTTCTTCTTCCTGTTCTTCTTAAGGAATGTGAAGAGCAGAAGGAATCTTTTCTCAGATGGACACACTACATATCCCTAGAAAAGTTTTAAATATTGTTAAATAGAAGTAGTACGGAACAAACTTTTGCTTCAATATAATTTGCTTTGCAATACAATTACATTAAGGAAGTGTTATGTAGTGAAACAAACATGCCAAATCGTTAATTCTTCCAGCTGCAATGGGCCAAACCATTTGATCTGTTGTCTGTTCCTTATCTTGGTGTATGAAACTCCTAAAGATTATGAACTTGGTAAGAAGCTTACTGTACTAACTTGAAATATGGAGAAGTAATATATAATTCTCCAAACTAATGTAAGTTCAGTGAAAAATTATTAGTTTATACAATAAAAATGCTTTTCAAGAACTCTGAATTACTGATACTAGGCATGAAAAAAACTGCATAGGGTTCTTAGTATTTTTGTATGATTTTAAGACTTTCATTTTTGCTACTGGCTTACTCTTTTAAGGTAACACAGCTACTGTGAATTTTATTAACATCATGTTAACTGCACAAACAGAGAAATTGCTATTATCTTGAAACAACAATGAAACAGATCTGAATTGTGCATATATACATGTAGTCAGTAACATGGAAAATACAGTTAGAAAGACAACTGGATCTATGTATGTAACATAGACAGGAACAAACAAATCTAAAAACTATATTAGTATTTCATGAGTTTTTAGATCATCTGTCCTGCAAACATTGACTAGATGCATGTCACGTACTCTAGTTAGCAGACTGAGTACACTCCTTTGGCAAACAATAGCTTTTGTCCATTAGGATGGTAAATATCCTTGAAGACAGTGCTTGTACAGCCCAGTTAAAACCACACAGGACTTAGTATGTTCACAAGTCATACCCCTCTTAACACTTGTGTTTTACCTGTTCAAGACCATCTACTGTTGCTGTCTCCTTATTATCGTCAACCCCAACATAGAGTGGCTCTTTCTTCAGAGAGATCTTTGCCAGGTCTTCAACCTTTCTGGTTTGTGTAGCAGAAAAAAGCATCGTCTGCCTGCGCTCTGAAAAAAATATTTATTTGAAAGACAGCCTCATTTTTTAAAGGAGAATTCAAATAGCAAGACCATAAAATCTCAAGCTGCAAACTTCCCTGAGGAAGTTGTCTACTTTTTTTCCAATTAAATTCTAATACTTACACTGGCAAAGACAGGTGTAGTTGTGTTATGGATTGTACAGGATGTTTATTTAGCTACTAAAACACAACATTCTTTCTCCCTGGGAAAACGTTTATAATCACTTGCACTTCAATTTAGACACAAAACAATGATTTAAGTGAGACTGACCTTGTAATTCTAACTATAGTAATTTAATTCCCATGAATATTAAAATTTTCTTTAAAAAACATGCTAGATATTGTGCAAGAAAAAAGCCTTACCAAAACTAAGGTGCATTGTTACTACTTGTCTTGCAAAATCAGTCTAGATCATACACCTTTGTGCATATGCTGTTTAGTCGCATGGCAGTATGTCTGTACAGAACCTCAGTGACTTCAATGCTCTTACAGAAGGTGTAGGACACCCCCTGCCTGCCTGTCATCACTGAGCTCAAATATATACCTATCCTCTATCTTTTCCTTGTTACATGAGTACACGGAAAATGCAGACCAAGCCTGTTCCATTTCACAACTGCAAGAACAGTAGAAACTGTTCTCACCAAACAACCTGGAATAAATAAATGAAAAATTGGGGAAAGAAAAATTTTAAGGTAAATACTTAAAACTTCCTTAAGATACTGTTCTTGGACGTATGAAGAAAATTTCAACTGCAATTCAGAAGACCTTTTTCCTTATATAGAAACATTAGGAAGTAATGTATTGTAGAAAATAAATGGGCAGAGGAAGATGAATGAGAGCATGTAAATGTTAAAATAAAAGATCTTACAAAAACAGAATTATATCCCTAAAGTGCATATGAAAACTCTGTCCTTCAGATAAATGATGTTAAATAAAGTAACATATACTAGCTATCAGAAAAAAATGACAGAGTAAGAGAATGACTGTGAAGTACATTTACAGAACTATAAAAATTAATGACTTTCCTTACAATAACTGAGCCATAAAGGAGACATAATGTTAGTCAAATGATTTCCAGGAAAGACTTTTTTTTTTTCCTTACTTGGTAGAAGTTTTATGATCTGTTTCATTTCTTCTTCGAATCCAACTTCCAAGATACGATCCGCCTCATCAATTACCAAACACTGCAAGTTCTTATACATGAAACCTGGAGTATTCTAGAAGATGAACAAATACAGAGTCAGACAGGTACAGGAGCTTTATTATGTTTTAATAGATCAGATTAGACATCAATATTTTATCTACCTGCATATGATCCAGCAGTCTTCCTGGTGTTGCTACAATGATGTTTATCCCATTTCCAAGTTTCTGTGCTTCTGCTGATCTGTTACTGCCCCCCATTATCAGACCATATGTGTGAACATGATGATTCATCAGTTCTTTAAGAACTCCGTAGGTTTGCATAGCAAGCTCTCGAGTAGGAGAGAGAATAATAACACCCGTTCCTAAAAAATACAACAGACAAGTTATAACTCATCCAATCCCCCTCCTAGCTATGTCCCTAAATGGCAGCGCCACAGTAAAATTAAACTGTGAAATACAGGGTCTTACCATTTCTAGGCATGAATTTCAGCTTATAGATGAGTTCTACTGCAGGAATAAGAAATGCAAGTGTTTTGCCACTGCCTGTTTTTGCAGCTGCTAAAATATCCCTGTATGCAGCAAAGTTAGAAAAAGAAACATTTAGTTGAGTGTACAGAGAAAAGAACAATCATATTTTGAACAATCATATGTTGCCAATATAAAAACCTAACGTGGCTTAGAGGAAACCAGAACAGCTGGTACTAAAAGCTTGGTGGCAGATGGTCTTGGATGGCAATTGGTCACTATGTCACTGGTGACAGTGTCTTTGAGACACACTGACAAGACCAGTGAAAACACTTCCCAGCTTTCAAAGCCAAATGCAAAGCAGTTCCCATGAGCTTACCCTAAGTATCTGTTCACATGCAACACTTATAAAATTTGTTAACCTGTATTACTGTCTATATGAGAACATGCGGAGAAAAAAAAAAAACCCAAAACAAAACCCAAACCCACAACAGTTTAGCTGCAGAAAAGTTACATTTAATATATTTAGCTTCCCAGCAAAATTTACACAACATTTCAGGTCAATATTGTGATTAAAAAGCTGTATTTCTTACCTGCCTTCCAGAAGTGGCTTAATACTTTTATGCTGAATTTCAGTCATGTGTGTAAAACCCATGTCATTTATGCCTTTCAATGTATTTTCACTGACAACACCAGCCAGGGAAGTAAAAGAATTGTCTTCAAAAGCACCTGAAGTGAGTGGGGAAATAAAAATATTCAAACTTAATTTCTTCAGTTTCATCTGTCCTGAGATTACACAGTCAAAAGTGACCTCAATTAAAAAAAAAAAACCCCAAAAAGAGGAATTTTTTTCTTACTCCTTTATACCATAAAATCTGAAGACACTGACAAAATACTCTGTATTAATGAGCTCCTCAGACTATTACACAATGTACACAAATACACTGCTCCTCCATTGTGCTCTTCATTGACTTTTTGCTCTACAATTAAATGTGTATGTTTTAAAGCAGACGTTAACTAGCAATTTTAAGACTAATAAGAGTGTCAAAGGACAGGTACTGAGGAACAGCTGTACAGTCAAGAGTCACATCACCTGTACTCCAACACTTGACTTACAAAGCTAACCTGAAAACTGCAGCCTGCTCTGGAAGCAACAGACCTTAGATTTTTGCACAGGCATGTAAAAGCGAAAACCAGATACCTGTTACACCTAGTGGTAAACTAGGCACTTCATCCTCCTCCCCCTCCTCCTCTTTCTTCTCTCCAGAATCCTGCTTTTCTTCATCTTCTACCTTGGCAGATTCATCTTCTTCAGTTTTTGCTTTTTTAGTTTCTGTACCTAAAGCATTGTTTTACAAGGCATGTCAGAGATATGAAAAACTTGTTCAGCGTTACAAGTTGTTCCAGACAGTGTATTTCTTTAATCCGCAAACCACGCACAAATGTCATGCTTTTTCATGGGGTGGGAAAGGGTGGGAGGAGGGGAGGCAAGGTTTCTAGGGAACCTTCTGAGGCCGAGCACAAAAAAAATACTAAATTCCTTCCACAATCCACTTCCCATAGTACAACAATTAAGGTTAATGTATATTCTATGACATTTTCTGTGGAAACAAGAGAAACCATTCTTAAACTTCAGTTACAAAATCCTTTCCTATCTGTAATGCAGACACCAAGTTTTCAACTCAGTTTGTGCTCAGGACATGTGATATGTAATGCCTCTGTCCTAAGTACCCAAATCCTCAGAGCATGAAAGCACCTCTTCATATTCATAACCATAGTGAGTGTCACAAAGGTCAAACACATCAGGGACAGAAACTTCAGATGTGTATATTTGTATGTGTATCTATACATACACATAGATAAAAACTTCTACAAATCTAGCAACATTTATGCGATGCAATTTTTTGGGTTAGTTGCCCAGTAGACTTTAGTTTCATAATACACAGATGTTACCAAAGGTTGGATGCTTTGCTAAAAGGCCACACTGGCTGCACATCCGAGCACAGGAAGTACCACGAAAGCTCTCAAAGCTCCAACATGAAAGACGGCAAATACGTATTTGCTTAATAAACAAGCAAAACATCCATACTTCATGTTACAAAGCACAATCCTATGCAACAACTGTTTGGTATCGGTTTAATATGTATTAAGAATTCAAATATTACAATTAGAGTAAATCCGGCAACACTGAAGACCTCCAGGGATTTAAAACATAGCCCATACCACCGCAAGGCCCTTCTCACTGCCCAGGCGACTGATCCACTCCCATAGAGCAAAAAACGAAAGCAAACGCTTTTGTGGGTCTTCAAGAGTAACTGCCCCTGGGAGGCAAGCTGTATTCGTTAAGTTAACCCACCTTCCTCCACAGCAGCCGCTGCTGCTTTCCTCTTTTTCTTCTTCCTCCTCTTCTGTCCGTCTCGGGGGCCGGCTCCATCCGTGCCCTCCCCGCCTGCCGCCGCTGCATCTGCCTCAGGGGCCGCCGCCGCCGCTTTCTCCACCTCCTCCTCTTCCGGAGCGCCCAGCGATGCCTCCTCGCCTGCCGAAGGGACGTTTCGGAGGCAGAAAGGGGAAAAAATAAACGCCAAGTCAGCAACAGCTCCGCAAGCGCTCAGCCGGGGGAGGCTCCCCACGGCCCTGCCCGGCACGGCCGTACCTGCCCCCTCGATCTCCCGCAGCTTGAGGTTGCGCTGCCGCAGCTTCAGGTTACGCTTGTGGATCTTCCTGCGGAGCAGCCGCATGGGCAAGCTGCTGGCAACGACCGGAGCCGACATCCCGCCGCGCCGCTTCACGATCCCTTCACACGTGGGACAGCGGCACTCCGCGCACGGACCCAGCCGGAACACCCCGCCGCCCGCGAGGCATGACGGGAGTCCAACAGCGACACCCAGCGGCACGGCGGGACAGAGGCTGCGGTCCTGGACTGCCTTGTATGTCTGTCCCGTTCCCTGCATCTCAGCTCAGCGAGGGCGGAAAAAGCCCCGTTTACCCTGGGGGGGAGCGTGGTGTCGCCGTCTCCTCCGCAGACACCCCTTACCCCTCAGTACCGGTGGTGTTGCCTCTGCTCATGGTTACAGGTGTTTAACTGCAAATGGGAGTAAGAAGCGCTCCCTGGCATCCACCTGTGGGGTTCCAAATCTGGTACCTCCGGGAGAAGTGGTTTGGGGACACCCCGTATGTCCTCTTGTATGCTGGCCAGAGGGGCTGGGGACACGGCTGTGTGCCCCACCGTGCAGGCCCCAAACTGTAGGCAGCACCTGAAAGTGGTGATCCCCACCGCTGCTGGCTCTTCTGGCATCCCCTGGGGATGCAGCATGTAGCGGCACAAACTTTCATGCTACTTCCAGCACAAAAGCTGGTGAAACTTTCAGGCTTGCAGAATCCCCAGCACCGACCCTGGGGATAAAGTTCACAGCCGTGTGTTCAGTGATGTCCTGCACATTTGTTAGTCACCTCATCTGCTGTCTGTTCCTCCTGATGGGTGCAAAGAACATGGAAATCCCCTGGACTCTCACCAGCCTGGCAGTGAGAGTGACTGGGCCAAATCCGGGACGCCGTCATTTCCAGGGCACAGCTTCTTGGAGCTGTTAGGTAGCGCTTTCCAGATGGCCAGCTGGAGCTCCCCGCTGCACCTCGATTCCAGTGGCAGGCAGTGTGCCTTTTCCTTCTAGCGTCCTCCTGCTGTTTCGCTCCGCATCCTCTTCCGAAGTGTGATTCAAGTGCAGGATGCCTCGGCCTTCACAACCTGCTTGACCAGCAGATGGCACGAACAGTACAGGAGTTTACAGCAGATCGCTTTGCTACCTTAACCCAATAACCACCGTGTTCCTAGGAATTCAAATGACTGCAAATTGTGTAAGGCTCAGCCTGCAACACCTTGCTGTAACGCAAAATTAACTGCAGAACTGTTACTATGTTAATTTCAAAGTGTTAATTGCATATAATATATATATATTTAAGCTACTGATATTAGAGATTAAAAAAGTGATTTTTCATCTTTGTTGTCCAGTTGTTTTCTTGCAGAATATGAACCACATTATCTTGTCCAGACTTTCAAAGACTGGATAACAGGCGTGGCCACTGGCTTATTAAATTGCGAGGGTAGCTGCCATGTCCATCTGCTGTGTTTGAAAATACTCTGAACCATTCTCAGCAAGAAAGGCTTGTGGCACAAAACTCCAGGAGAACTCTGTTCAAGGCCGAATTTCAAGCAAATAAAAGTTCCTTACCCAACTCAGTATAATTTAGGTTCTGGACGTATTTTCTTGCTGGTTACCTTATACTGTGTCCTCAGAATGTGTTTTCAGGTATACGGGTTTGCTCTTCCTAGTCTATACTGATTTATGAGTGAGTATGTGACTATGTTTATTACTGGATCCAGATTTCACCCAGGTGGTGCTCTTTTCTGGAATATGGTCATTGTGCAGATAGAATGAATTAAAAATCTGGGGACTGATGCTAATACTTGCACTTAGGGAGAACAAATGATGCTGCTCGGGCATATTTGTATCTTAACTACACATATTTGTGTCTTAGCCAGTAGCCCAGTCCCAGGATCATCACTATTTTGCTTTCCATCACGCCATCGCACCCCCAGCTCTGCCAAGAATTAGGGCCTGGAAACCCTGGTCAGGTAAATCTCTAAATAAACTCACCTCAGTGTCTGTGTTGGGTCCCGGCTGTCCTGGCAAGTCTTCATGAAATTGCATTAGTGTGGCATGAGGCCCAGACTGATAAACTGTCCTGAGAAGTTACGTTAGATCCCACAGAGCAGAATATATTGCCTATGTCAGTTGGCTATTAGCAGCATGGTACACAAAGAAAACTTTGTTGTGCTTGTAGATAAATTATGATCTTGCATCTGTGTAAACAGATGTCATGGCATTATGTATAGGAATTACAAAATTACAGATATCAGTAAGCGTCAAAGTTTCATGTGCTCGAACACTGCTTTGCCTCAGTTCTTGTAAAAGATACTGCTTAGAGTTAGCAAAGAAGTATGCTGCTCTGAAAATTTCCAAACATGTTTTATGAGTTTCTTTCTTTTTTTTTTTTTTTTAATTCCAGCAGAAATTGCAGGAAGTCAGGGAAAAAAAAGAAGACTAAAAAGACAATAATGATAATTTTATTGTGACAGGTCTAGACAATAGTTTACTAACGTTTTTCCTCTGAAGTATGGCATTTCTTAGATCTCATATGAATTCTCTCTAGTGCATGTCTCATTTCTGTCCAATAGATGAATTCTTAATTGCTAAGGCACTCGTTACTAACAATAGGATTTTCTCAAATGATTATTGAGTTATTGTCAAAATGTCTCAAATTTTCTACGCATGATCTTGCAGGAAGGTATGTAGGCATTTTGGGTTAGCAAAGCCTTGATAGAGCTGAATAAGTCCATATTAGACACTCTGAATTTATCTCTGAAGGTTAATATCAGCATTTTATCTCCAAAGACAATTCATCATTAAAGCCAAATTCAGAATCTTTCCTTCTACTTACCATTAACTAACTCCTGTTGATTAACAGTGTAACAGAAAAATAGTTGTTGATTTCAGTTGCATCATTTCAGGTAGATGGTGATAATTTATACAAAAGGTATTATAATCCCACACAGAAAAGATCCTGAAACAAAAGTGTATAGTTATTTTGGATACTTGAATTGTGGTGCAGAGCTGAATTAAGACAGACAGGTATTATTTTCAGAAAGCAGAATCTCTGAAAAAAATGCTTTTTTGATGTCTACGTTGAACATGAAAAGCCACCACTGATGTCATTTACGAACCCCTGCACCATCAAGTTGAAAGTTTTGAACTAGAAAACTAGAGCTTTTATTGCCTACAGCCACAAACTGGAAAAACTTTCAAATCTGACTTTTCATTTTTAACAGATTATTATTTTCCCTGTTAGATCAAATTTATCTGTTAGACAATAGTAAGTTATGGATAGGGACTGTATTTAAACTCTAGTGTCAGATACCACTTTTTTTTCAAATGTGTCTAACTTCCATAAGAAAAAAATCTACAAATATGCAAGTGATGGATACAAAGGTATGTGCAGAAGTGGTCTAGTGTGACATGTCCCTGCCCATGCCAGGATGTTAAAACTAGATGATCTTAAGGTCCTTTCCAACCCTAATCATACCAAATTTTCCAGTTTGATTGACACGTATAGTTCTGAAATCTGGACTTTAGCAGAGAAATGTTACCAACACCTGAACTGATGTACACAGTGTAGATACAGATATATCACATAGAGAATAAATGGCTCTATTTATAGAGCATGTTAGTGTTAATGGGGGTTAGAAATTGCTGGTGCAAATCATATCTCCATAGGGTATCATTGCATATCATTGAATCTGTGAGGGAATTTAAGTATGGCTTTAAGTTTAAGACAAGGTGAGTAAGATATCTGTGTTTGAAAAAACCAAGCTAGCCTATCATAATCACAGGGGAGTTTTAGTTTTATTTTTATTTTTTTTTTTACTTTTTGTTTGATGCTGCTTTCAAATAATGTCTCCCTTGTGTCATCTGGAGGTATTGTCCCAGTTATAAATGCCATCATCACCACTTTGTGTAGCATGTGGAATTTGTGGGGTTTTTAGGAAATTTCACATTTATCCATTTACCCCACTCTTTTAGACCTCTCTGCAGAGCTTAGCATGATTGATCATGAAATCTTTGTGCGTCATATGAGCTGGATGGCAGGAGTCCAGATTACTGTACTAGTCTGAGCTCTTCCTAAAGTGATGCGTTCAACAGTCAGTGATGATCAGCTGCATGCCTACCCCACTTAATAGTTGGAAACCCACAAAAATCAATTTCCCTATGTCCTTTTCTAGCAATGGAATACAACCACACTGTCAGCGGGACTCAGAGGCTAGCAATTTTCAGATAGTACCTGTTCACAGAATCACAGAATCCCAAGGGTTGGAAGGGACCTCGAAAGATCATCTAGTCCAACCCCCCTGCAAGAGCAGGGTAACCTAGAGTACATCACACAGGAACTTGTCCAGGTGGACCTTGAATATCTCCAATGTAGGAGGACCCAGGCGGACCTTGAATATCTCCACTATGCCCCTGGGCAACCTGTTCCAGTGCTCTGTCACTCTTACAGTAAAGAAGTTTTTCCTGATGTTCACATGGAACCTCCAGTTTACACCCATTGCCCCTTGTCCTATCACTGGACATCACTGAAAAAAAACTAGCTCCATCATCCTGACACTCACCCTTTACATATTTGTGACCATTGATGAGGTCACCCCTCAGTCTCCTCTTCTCCGAGCTAAAGAGACCCAGCTCCCTCAGCCTCTCCTCATAAGGGAGGTGTTCCACTCCCTTAACCATCTTCGTGGCTCTGTGCTGGACTCTTTCAAGAGATTCCCTGTCTTTCTTGAACTGAGGGGCCCAGAACTGGACACAATATTCCAGATGCGGCCTCACCAAGGCAGAGTAGAGGGGGAGGAGAACCTCTCTCGACCTACTAACCACACCCTTCTGATACACCCTAGGATGCCATTGGCCTTCTTGGCCACAAAGGCACATTGCTGGCTCATGGTCATCCTCCTATTCACCAGGACCCCCAGGTCCCTTTCCCCTTCACTACTTTCCAGCAGGTCAACCCCCTGTACTGGTACATGGGGTTATTCTTCCCCAGATGCAAGACTCTACACTTGCCCTTGTTGCATTTCATCAAGTTTCTCCCCACCCAACTCTCCAGCCTGTCCAGGTCTTGCTGAATGGCAGCACAGCCTTCTGGTGTGTCAGCCTCTCCTCCCAGTTTAGTGTCATCAGCAAACTTGCTGAGGGTACACTCAGTTCCCTCATCCAGGTCTTTGATGAAAATATTAAACACCACTGG